CCTCCGCCTAGTTGAACATTCGGGAAGAAGTGGTAAGGAGGCAGAAAAACTCGGGCAGATGGTAGTCAGGGAGGGTTGTATTTTGCAAAACGTTTCCCCAGTGAAGGACAATGCTTAAATCCTCCGATGACGTGCTGAACATAACTGAATGGCGCTATTGTAGTTGGGATGGGGGAGGCGACATTTGGTCGCCTCCTCTGTGTCCTTTCCTCTAAGCGAGGGCTAGCTCCAGGGTGCAGACGAACAGGGTCGTTGGGAGATAGTCTCGGAGTGGAGACTTGTTCCTGTGAAGACATGTTCCTGCTGGATCTGACTTTTGTTTTCAGATAGGACACAGATGCGTGGCTGAACGATTTCTTCCCCCGCCTCCCTCCTTCCAAATGCGGAGGTCTTTAACTGGCAGATAGCCCTCCCCCTTGAACTGCATTAGCGCCAAACGAACTTGTCTTGCAGGCTAAACTACCTGGGAAATACAAGGAAAAGACACAGCGTTTCATGGATGAATTCAAGACATATCAAGCGCAGAGACTTAAAACAAACTAAATAGTACCAGATGCTATAGTAACAATAATCCTTGGAATCGTACACGACAATATTCCGACAAATTATCATCATCAGCATCTTGAATTTCATGTTAATCAAGCTGCGCTTCACATTCACATTATGTATGGATAATAAATCATTGTGTTTTTTTTCCACAGACTCATCCATGTGAGAGTCCCCACTCTCCTTTTGTAAATCGCCCATGTGGTTGGTAAGCCATCAGGTCAATAAGTCAGCCCTGTTTGCAACTGCATCGTGGGCACGATGTGAGAATAAAGAGAAGAAAATGACTCCCGAAATCTCGACGCGCTCTACGACTGCCGCAGGTCTTATAGGAAATATCACGTCATGTGGAGAAAATGTGTCTCATGGAGCTCCTTGTAAGTGCAGCTCTGCTCGGTACATTCAGGTGTGGACAGAGATGCAAACAGCATGTGCCGAGCACCACTCGCAGCCAAATCCGCTCACACGCCCTCTCCAGACACCGCGATATGAGCCGTACTTCGAGAAACTCTACTGATATGGTGTGCTGTGCTTGCAGTGTCAATCTACGGTAATGCTATGGTTGTAACAAACTCTACTCCTCTGTGTGAGACGTTCAGGCAGGCGCCCAGTTTGGTTTTGGCATTGCCATCATATTAAAGAATTTGTCTCTGGCATGATGCCAGCGGTAGCTCGCACAAGCAATCTCCGTCTTAGCCTTGTTCTCTACCGCCCTTGGGTCAAGGGTTCAAAAAGGTGAGTAGTTGCGGGCTGCCACCCTTCCCGCTCCGTTTTCCTCACTCTCGCACTGTTTAGAAAAACAGGCGGGATACCAGTGCACACATTACTCTCAGTTTTTTTCATTCCTAAGAGGGGAGCGGAACTTGTTTTCTTCCGCGGTATGAACAATTCGTACACGGGACCAACCCATAACTTCCCCCTTAACTTTCACATTCTTTCGATTTACTGTATACCACCTGTTTTCCTAGACCTCTACTCTTGTGCATGTGCTCAACTTTACTTAGAGACATGGACCTCTGGATCGTGCGAAAGTGGTTGCTGCTTTGGCTACCTTTTGTTTTGCCCTCTCTTTCCTCTAGGAACAGTAGCACCAAAGACTTGGTGCTACTCAAAAGCTGAACTCAATTGTCGTCTACTCAACGTTTACGATTGTCATCATATTTATGCAAGCTTTATTCAACATTATTCTGCTTATTTCTTTCCGAAGAACCATCCGAAGCCTCCAAGGCTCTGTCCTCCATATTGTCCGGCAGAGTTTAGACCAACTTGATAGGTACCCGTGTACCACGGGTAGCCGATACCTGTGCTTTCGACGGTAAGCAAACTTCTACCATTTGATGGCATGGCTAAGCTTTGCTTTCCAGGGGCTGGAGGGCTCCGGAAGAAACCACCGATACTACCGTAGCCGCCCATGTTGCCAAAGCCACCATAATAACTATTCCAGCCGCTGTATCCGCGACCGTAGCCGCCGTATCCGGTAGTGTAACCTCCGTATCCGGCACCATATGCTCCGCTTCCGACACCGTAGCCTCCATATCCAACACATTGTGGCAGAGGTGAGAATGCACAAAGTATGCAGGCTGCTACCTGCGACGCTTGAGGTCGCAGCGTACCAAACAACTGACGAACCTGAGCTCGTGCCTCTTGTATCGTCAATGTCTGAAAATGGAAATCTGTTCAAAAATCAAAAGCAGATGTAATAGTGCTTTGTATCCAACCTTATCGTTTTGAATCTTTGCCAATTCTTCGAAGAATGTCTGAAGACCAAGCAAGGCGTTTGCAATGTCGTCTTGCATTTTCTGTCTGATTTCACTTGTTTGCTTCACGAAACTATCGAAGCTAGCCTAAAATCTTCTTAACTCGGAGTCCGCTTATTAAGTGGAGGCGCAGTTCGGCA